CAATATCACCTTGTTATCAAACTATATGTAAAAAACTATATATTACTAATCATATATGGAAAAGCTTACTACAATTCATCGTATTTTAAAATGTATTTTGAATTTTATTTAAATATAGCTAAAATCAGCCATTTTTAGGGATTTAAAAAATAAAACACGTTCCAATCAATTTAAATTCGTTCTGAAATACAGCAAAGTATTTTTAATTAGAAATATTAAATTTTATCTATTAGCTTGAAATTAAAACTAAAATAAAAAAATTCAAGTAAGACTTTTCATTTTTAAAAATTTATTTTAAACCTTAGGCATCGCTTTTCTTTGGGAGTAACTATATATATATATATATATATATATATATATATATGACAATAGGAAAACTAGTTATTGCTGACGCGTTTCGTCCAATGTGGACTTTCTCAAAGCAAAAAACGAAATGAATTTAATTAAAGAAACTAATAATAACAAAAAACAGAATGTCCTTAGCAACTGGAGGAATGTAGAGAATGTAGAATTCTCATATTTTTAACTGAAAATAACGTCAGTTATTGTCACGTGTGGAGAATATTGTCATTATAGCTGTGTTGACGGATTCAACTATTTTCTTTTGATTTTACGATATTGTTGTGTACATTTGTTTGGGAGAGCAGGAATTTTGTTAAGAAAGGTGAAATAGGGAACATTCTGTTTTTTGTTATCATTAGTTACTTTCTTTAATTATATTCATTTCGTTTTTTGCTTTGAGAAAGTCCACATTGGACGAAACGCGTCAGTGATAACTACAGTTTTCCTGTCATTTATATTTATAAATATTGTCTTTTCTACAGGTTAACTCTGAGAAATTTTCATATATATATATATATATATATATATATATATATATGTGTGTGTGTGTGTGTGTGTGTGTATGTACGCACGCGTGGGTGTGTTTGCTTTTATAATTCCATTAAGCCAGGTTTTTAATCCAGCTCGCTAGTTTTGTCCAATTAAATAATGTGTACTTTTATAATTGTTGTCTACATATGTTATTTTTATATTTTATTCCTTTACGATTCATTTTTATTCTTTTTCTCTATTCAGAAGTAACGATATAGATCGGTTTCGGAATGGTCCAGCTTGTCTTGCAATTTTTCTAGCGTTAATTTTGTAGGAATCCTTCTACTCGGTTTTTCGTTGAATGCTAAAATTTGGAGTGTCAGGATTCGATACAATAACAAACTATCGTTACGGGGTCCGCTCATAATTTGGCCGTCTAGAATAATCACACGATTTTCATTGAAGGAATAAAATTCAGTAGAAAAGACAACGTAGTTTCAACAAATAAACATTAATTTAATATAACAACAAGAATACAAGCAGTTGATGATAGATTGGAAAATAATGTCTTTTTGTTTGGGTTGATAAAGTTCTGAAATAAAATATAAACTTTCTTTGTGTACATATGTGAGAAACAATAAAATGTTGCGATATGTGTGTTTGTATGAAAAAGCCAACATATGTGTGCGTGATTCATAGTATAAGCGGATACGAGAGATAGAAATTGTTTCTTACTGTTGGCGGTGTTGCTGTAGTCTGAAGTTTATCAACGCTGTCGCTTTTAATATGAGGCCATTAAGATTATCAGTGAGACTTGTGTGGAGTTTGGTGACAGCCGCGTGTATCCTTGTTTGGGAATGGATTTCGTATGTTTTTATACACTTCTTCGTAACAAAATCGGCTCCAGAATTAAATTATTTATTTATTCCTAATTGGTCCTAAAAGGTCACGTGGTATGTCTTCTACTACGTCCGTACGATATTTGGTTGGTATCTACCTAAAAATAATGATGACTAATACAACAAACATTCTGATTTGTATTCTATGATTTTATTGGTGTGTTTTAAGATGTAAGTGTTTTCTTGAGTGTGATTGGTTTATAAATATTGTATTTGATATTTTAGTGGAGACGACAATTTCACAATAGAAAATTCCTTTCTCGTTAGTGCCATGAGATTCCCCTGTGTAGTAAACATAGACACACCTCACTATGTATGGCTGTTTTGATTCCTGTAACAAGTAGACTTCTTTGACGGGGTGGAGTTGCTAGCGGCTTTGAATTCAAACTTACCCTTCTCCTGAATTAGTAGCCAATCAAGGCGTGAGAGCCTAGTCTGCATTGCTATTCAACTTATAGCTGGGGTGGAAAAGATGAATTTCTACCTTTCCCCAAAGGAAAGTATTTGTGCGCACAACAAATGCTATCGGATTTTGAACTCGGCATGCCGATTCCATTTTTTCCGCGCCAATAGCCTTTGTAGCATCCATAAAATGGAAATTATCAACCGTAAAGTTATAGTAGAGGCATGAATTTTTGTGTCGGAAAAGTGTAACAGTAGAAGAGTCTCTGAGTCGTAAAAACAACTTTTTAGTAAATCCCTATCAGATAGGTGATAATCAGTGTGATATTCAACGCCATGAAAAACAGTCTTCTAAAATACTAACAACTCGATGAACAATAAAATGCAAAATTACTAAGCAATAAAAATTGAATCAATTGATAGTGAAATCGCGAAACAATATATTCTATAATTAAGGGTATCGTTTTATGTATGTATACTCCAGCTTAAAATCTAAAACTACATACTTCGACGTTTAAAACCATATATATTTTGATTCAGCATCTTTATAAGAAATTTAAACTAATTGAGCGTTTATCGTCTGCTTTTTTGAGAGAAAATGGACGTTGTGTTCGGCTCTTGCTTAAACTTTAGAATTTTTAAAATATTTTTAGACCATTCCGATTTGTGGGAAAATAACTGTTTGGGGGTTTCATTCAGAACCAATCAAAAGGTTTCCCTGCCAAATTCTGGGAAGCAAATCTGGAGTCTATTTTGGTGAATAAAAGCAGAAGAAGTATTGAATTCGAAGAGTCGACGAACAAACTGCTGTAAGAACCCACGTCGGCCCGGTCAAGGAAAAACAATACAAAACAACACAGACGAAAATTTGAAAGGAACATCAAAATCGCTCCCACATCAAAGGGATATTCTTCGTCTGGTGTGATTGCTCTGTTCTTCGCTGTTACCACAAACTTCTAACATTGTACCTATATTTTTTTACATTTATTTTATGTTGTTTGCCTTTTCTGGGGACCTTACGCAGCATAGTGATTTTTATTGTAAAAGAGGCTTATTTTATTTGCAGTGTTTATTTGTACATACATGTTATTGGCCATCATTTGGCACACAAAGTACTTAATTTGTGTAATTCTTTCAATTTTGTCTGTTAATAAATTTATCGTCTGCAGTTTTTTATACTCGGTTCGTGTCGTCTTTTGTTGCTGTCTCCTCTTGGTCTTATAAATTAAACGTTACCTCAAACATTTGTTTTAACTATGATTTTTTTTTTCGTACACGTTTTTTTACCAAATAAAAAATCATTTATCTTCCAAGTAAGATTTTGATAAATAATTTATTTATCTACTCTTTATATAAGAGAAGTTCTCTGTAAATTAAAACATAATAGCTGGCATTGGAAAGTATATTAAAATGATACGCCCATGTTTTGCGTATCCGATATCATTCAATTATTTTTGAATAAGCAGTAGGAAAATTAATGAATTTTAGAATAAATCATCCCTTTTGTTTAATAAAGAACAATTTTTTTAAAATTATTACTAAAAAAGTAAAAAAACTAAACTTTTAACAAAAAATATTGAACAAGTTTTTATTTATTTACATACGTAAACACAAAATCACTCAATTATTTTTTAATTGAACAGTATCAAACAATTAAATTAAACTGCAAATGATAAGATTAAAAAATAATACATTAGCAACGTTGTCTACGTATTATATGAAAATAACATCAGTAATGTAAAAATATACGATGAACAGTATTCATAACAATTTAATTTACTTTTGGTGTTACTAATAAAAAAAAAGGTCAAAGAAGAAAAGAGCAAGACATAATCATCGATAATAGATAATTTAGAATTTGTTAAGAGTCTTAAAATATGTACGTTTTAAAACTAGTTTTTTTAGTTTTGTTTTGTTTTCAAACGTTCACAAAGATTTATACCAGTTATGAGTTTTTTTTTATTTCTTTGCATTTATTGATAACGGGTTTGCAATCTGTATAGGACTAATTTTTTTAAACCTTCGTATAGATTTATAACTCCGATGAAGGATAACTATAACTTGTCTTCTTTTTTTTTTTGTTTTTTCAGTAACATTAAATATCACTTATTAGTTTTTACAGTGTCTTTGTTGTGGTGTAAACATTAGCTTATACTTTGAAATAATTAGGCCAAATAAAGCATTTACAATGAAAATAAATAAAAATGCATCGCGGAAGACTTCATCCAGTTTAAAGTGCACGAAAATTAAAATATATATGCATCTATATTTCTTATATGTATTGTAATTATTTACATTATCTATATTGTTCTACTGTCCTCAAGGCCCAGTGGCTAAAAGCGATGGTTGGAGCCAATGACCAGACGCAAAGAGTTGGGAGTTCAATACTTGGCGTCGTGAACAAATATTTGTAGTGTTGAATTAAAAGGAGATAACCACGGCATCCGAAAGAGGCATGGCACGTGGAACTAGAACAATCTACCCCGGTGGGCTAAATAAAGATTTCGAAAATTCAGTTCGAAATTCCAAACATCTGAAGAAGGCCGGATAGTAAAACGGCCGAAACGTCGTGAATATGGCAATAAAGATGAAGGAAACAGTTCGAACAATGTAAATAATGCAAATAAATATATATGCATATACTAACAATTTCAGACATCTTAGCAAAGCATGATAAGAAAAAGAAAAACATTTATTTGAAAATTAATCAACAAGAATGTTTACAATCTTTGAAGGTTTTAGTCTGTTTTACCTTCTTTGTTTTCTGTTTTAAAAGTTTTTGGCTTGGTAAAATCCAGTCAGTAAAATTTGAGTGATTGGCTGGTCGTTTTTTGTTTATTGCTTTTTTTTTTTTTTTTTTCAATGGCGCGAGGTTAATTCGATCGTTCAGCAGGTGGATTCTCCAATAAGTGTCCCCAAGTATCCCTTTACGTTACGAACCTTGGAGTTCATCCCCCACATAACATATGACATAATGATGTCATCTAGAAGTTGGCCCTGAAACTAAAAAAAGTCAAAATTTTAGCTTAAATTCGGAATTTACAATCACACAAGCTTAAACATTATTACTTATTTGGTTCTTTACGGACCTTAACTGGTCCAGGTGCACGAAAGCGAGGTACCTAGCGAGCCTTGCACTCACTACACTAGCGAATAACCGTAAGAGAATCTCACCATCGCTCTACAGGAGGCTCCAAAATAGATGAATCTTACAATGGAACAAGGCCACAAGGATGAGAGCACCGATGCAGAAAAAAGATAGGACAAGAAATAACAGTATTAAGGTTGAGTTCAGTGACAACATGGAGAAAAATGCCAGAGATTTCAGAAAACTTTCGTCAGAATCTCTCTTACACATTTATAAGTCTACTACTATTCCTCCACGCACTGAATATCTCTAACACATTTGGCCTGGTTCTTCTGCTATGGATTTAGATATTCTACATAAAATACAAGCATCTTGGCTTCAGCTACTTTTCCACCGCCGTAAGGTGGCTTCTGTTCAGCTTTCCTCTATGGTATGTAGACTTTATGAATTTAAGCGCGGTACTAGATTGGCGGCAAGGTCCCATCATTTTATAGTTGCAATGGCTCCATGTAACCGTAAATTCTATGCTAATAGTTTCTTCTCTTGCACTTACTCCTTGTGAAACTCTGTTTCGGCTTCTTGCTTACCAGTTAACTTTGACCTTCAAAAGTTTAAATGCAATGTCAATCGTTATCTTCTGCCTTTTATTTCCTGTTCTTTTATTATTCACTCTCCTTAATAGAATTTTTCTCTTATATTCCTTCACATTTAGTGACCTCCCACCCTTGCGTCTTAGTGGCTTTACTGCCTTGCTTGGGGTGAAATGATTAAAAAAACAACAAATCAACTAACAAACGACTGATAAGGGTAATATATAATACTAAGGAAGCCACGTTGAAAAAAAAATTGTTTTTCGCGATGGATGCCAGGTGGCGCTGTCGTAATAATAATAATAATAATAATAATAATAATAATAATACACCTATTGTGATAAGAGCGTTGGGTATGATATTTCATTCCCAGCGACCTTTTTTAGCAAGAAAAACAGATGAAAGCGAAACTAGTAAAAAATTAATTGTGGTAAGAAGTTCTTACTAAAGATCTTTAATTAATATGTTCAAATATTTGTTAAAATAATAAAAATGAGCATATATTACATTTTGATCGAAACTGAGAAAAAAGATAGATAGTTACGAACAGACTGATATATATATATATATATATATATATATATATATATATATATATATATATATATATATATATATATGAACAAAATATAGTATTAAGGTGTGCTATATTTACGGGACAAAGTGCTCAATGTCAGAGATAGAGCGTATGTAAATATAAATATAAAAGTGAACATTGAAGTCAACACTCAGAGGCGACAGGCTGTTTCATGCTGGACGCAATCTTCAGGCCGCCTGACGATTGCGTCTAGCTTGAAACAGATGAGTGTTGACGTCAATGTTCACTTTTATACATATATATATATGTGTGTGTGTGTATGTGTGTGTGTGTGTGTGGATAAAGAGAGAAATTTCATTAATAATATCGCATACCATTTCTAATTCGAAAACTGTTTTAATTGGTTCATTGCCATTCTCTGTGATAAGCGTAAATGTTCCTTCTTCGTGAATCCAATTCAGCAGTTTGGAATAATCAAATGTGCAAAGAAACTCCTGTGGACAAAAAAGTAGAAAAAGCCACTAGATTTAAAATTCTGATCATAGCAATAATTATTATAATAGTAATGAAAACAATAATAAACGTCACAATCTCAAAGGTCTTATTAGTAGTAGTAGTAGTAGTAGCAGCAGCAGCAGCAATCGATGACTTTCCTAAACTAGACACAAGAAGAACTGAAAAATAGAAGAAAAATCAAAGAAAATAGAAACACGCATAAAGCCTTTTATTTTTAAGGTGATGTTGAAAAATAAATGACCGCGGCAGAAATCGTTTTAACGTTGAAAAGTGTGTCGATTCTGCTATCCTCAGATTTGAAAACAACACTTTTCCAACAACGTCCACTGGCGTCTCTATTTCACGATATATATCCATGTTCAAGAAGTACTGAATTTTATTACTTTCTAATGTTCAGGATTTCATGCTCACTTCTTGATTCAATGTTTCGGTTGCGGAAGAATTCTTTCATAAAAGAAACACTGATCCAAATGCGTGTGTGTTCCTGTCTTCAAGCAGCGGAACTTTTCTTACCTCGTCATTCTGGACTCTGCTCGGTGAATCTCGAAGCTAAATGTTTCATCGGTTTATGTAAGCGATTCCTCCGTGCACCCCCTTTTCTTTTTGATATTGATCTATGTAAAAATGTCCATCTTCAATTGGATTATCTAAATGTCCATTGACCAACAAAAAAAAAAAAAAAAAACATGGTTCCAGCAAAACAATATTTCTGCAAATTTTACTGAGAAAAACCTTACAGCTTAGCATCGTAGTATCAATAATTTGTTCATCTTGGATCAGATTTCAGCTCGGAATCCCATGCAAAAATATATCTTATCAAACCACCTTCGAGAAATTCCAAAGTTAATTACTTTTCCCCAAAATTCATTCGTGGTTCAAGTCTCTCAGATTCCCACAGTTTTGTTACGTTTCTGGACACAACGTTTCGGCCATCATCAGGTGACTATTGTTTGGCTGATATGGAATATCTATTGATCATGTGTTATTTTGTCCTAACTAGGGGGAACAGGAATGTGGTTCCACAGAAGAATGCTAAGAATTCCATGGAGGAAGCGAGTAAGCAATGAGGAAATCTTAAAGAGAATGGCAAGAAAAAGAACATTTATAATCAGAACAAAAAAGAGACAGCTGAAATTCATTGAACACAAAATGAGAAAGGAAGGCTTAGAAAACTTAAAACTCACAGCGTAAATAGGAAGGCACCTATCTGATGCTTATATGAATGGATGGTGGAACGAGATTGGGAACCTTAGCAAATGTAGAACAACTGCTAAGAGAAAAATGGATAGGATATTTTGGAGAGCCATTATCACCCATTTTCTGAAGGGACGAGGCATGTAGAAGAAGAAAATGCTATTTATTGCCTATTGTGTCTTTAGTAATCTCAATAACAAACAAGATAAGGACAGTAGTTCGAAATAATTAAAGAATATTGACAATC